GGCTGCTGGCCGTCGGCCCCGCCCAGCTTTTAGGCAAGTCACGCCTCCTCAGGGCGCAGCATTCTCATCCAAAACAGGGCTTAAGAAAACTTTCTGCCTTCCCTTACTGCCAGTGGCTTGTTTGAGCAGTTGGTTAAGGTTGTTGGTTCAAATCCGTGGTGGAGCCAGTCTTTAATTGGTGGAAACTTTGGGGGAAATTCAGAGGCTGAAGGCTATGAGACTTTGTATTTGATGTATAATTTGTCTTGCTTTGGAATGGCTCTCTGTACAGCAGAACTTTTCCATCTAGAAGAGCATAGTTAAGCTGGTTCCAGGGTCCAAATAGTCAATGGCAGGTCTCACAACCTTAAAAGCATTTTCCTACAATGGAAGATGGGTTAGGGGAGAGGCAGCCCAGGTCCTGAGGGTATTCCAGTTAGAATGGCGATCATTAAAACATCTGGAGACAACATATGCTGGAGAGGACGTGGAGAAATAGGAACACTTTTACACTGTTAGTGGTAGTGTAAATTAGTTCAAATCATTGTGGAAGACAGTGTGGCACTTCCTCAAGGACCTAAAAATATAAATTCAATTTGACCCAGCAATCCCATTCCTGGGTATATATCCAAAGGATTATAAATCGTTCAATTATAAAGACACATGCATTGCGGCACTGTTTACAATAGCAAAGACCTGGAACCAACCCAAATGCCCATAGACAATAGACTGGACATGGAAAATGTGGCAGGTATACACCATGGAATACTATGCAGCCACAAAAAATGATGAGTTCGTGTCCTGTGTAGGGACATGGATGAATCTGGAAACCATTCTCAGCAAACTGACACAAGAACAGTAAAACAAACACCACGTGTTCTCACTCATAGGCAGGTGTTAAACAATGAGAACACATGGACACGGGGTGGGGGAGCATTACACACTGGGGTCTGTTGTGGGGGAATAGGGGAGGGACAGCAGGGGGTAGGGATTGGGGAGGGATAATGGGGGGAGAAATGCCAGATAAAGGTGACAGGGGATGGAGTCAGCAAGCCACATTGCCATGTATGTACCTATGCAACAATCCTGCATGTTCTGCACATGCACCACAGAATCTAAAGTGCAATAAAATATATATATTTTTAAAAAATTATCACAGATTTCTTAGCAGAAAATATAAGCAAGCCAGAAGGCAATGGAGTAACCTCTTTAAAGTACAGAAAAGTGAAAAACTGTACATTTAGAATTCTATATATTCAATACTGAGAAGAAAGTATATCTGCCTGAAAATGTTTTTTAATGCAAATTAAAAAGGCGGGGGGATGCTACAAAGGATATTTATGAGTAAAGAAGAGATATAAGCACTGAGATTTAAGGCAGGAAGGGATAGGCGAATTCTACCGTTTTGTGTAAAGGCAGTTGGGTTTATGATCAGCATTGCCCTTATCTATGAAGCTGCTAATGCCCAAGCCTTGAAGGAAAAAGATAAACACCAGCTTTCAGTCTTTTGGTTGTACAACAAGAAGGATTGGACAACAGAAACCCATTTTCTAGATTGGTTCCACCCATACTTTGTTCCTTCAGTCAGGAAATACCTTGCCAGGAAGGGACTGCTTTTTAAAGTTCTTTTCGTATTGGAAAACACCTCTGCTACCCAAAAACCCTGAGTTCTGGTGGCGTACTTGCCCCCAAACACATATCTCTAATTTGGCCTCTAGATCAAGGGGTCATAATAGGAATCTTTAAGGCTCATTGCACCCTATGGAAAGGATTGTCAGTACTATGCAAGAGAACCCCGGCAGAACATCATGAAATTCTGAAAGAATTACGCCCTTGAAGATGCCATCGTTGTTATAGAAAATGCTGTGAAAGCCATCAAGCCCAACACAATAGATTCCTGCTAGAGAAACCTGTGTGCAGATGTTGTATATTACTTCACCGGATTTATGACAGAGCCAAATAAGGTAACCATGAAAGAGATTGCGAATGTGGCAAAAAAAGGTTGAGGAATAAAGTGTTTCAAGATATTTATCTTGGAAAAAATCAAAAGGTAGCAGACACTAGAGAAATTAACAGAAGATGATTTGACAGAGATGCATACTTCTAAACCAGTACTAGATAATCAGAAAGAAGACACAGAAGAAGCAATGCCAGAAAACAAGTTGATATGAGACAATCTGGCAGAAGGGTTTCCATTATTCAAAACTGCTTTTCCCTTCTTTTACAATATGGTCTTTCTGTGATACAGGCACTAACACTAAAGCAAATGATGGAAGAAGAACTGGTACTGCATAAAAGTATTTTTAGAGAAAAGAAAAAGTAAAAAACCGACATGATGTATAAGAGTTAAAAGGGATGTGCCTGCTGCCTTTCCTGCCTCCCCTTCTCCATCTTCTCTGCCTCTGCCAGACTTGAGACAGCAAGACCAACCCCTCTTCTTCCTTCTTCTCCTCAGCCTACTCACTGTGAAGACCACTAGAATCAAGAGCTTTAAGATAATCTGCATTCACTTAATAAATAGTAAATGTGTAAATATTTCTCTTTCTTATGATTTTCTTAATATCATTGTTTTTTCTAACTTTATTTTAAGAATACAGCAAATAATACATGTAAGATACAAAATACATGTTAATTGTCTGTGTTATTGCTAAGGTCACTAGTAGGCTATTAATAGTTAAGTTTGGGGAGAGTCAAAAGTTGTATGTGGATTTTTGATGGCATAGGGTGTCCGCACTCTATGCCCACATTATTCAAGAGTGAACTCTATACAAAGAATTCTAAAAACTCCAGAGGGTGGGACATGGTGGCTCATGCTTGTAATCCTAGTGCTTTGGGAGAGTGAGGTGGGTGAGTTATTTGAGCTTAGGAGTTCAAGCTCAGCCTGGGAAAAATAATGAAACCCTGTCTCTATCAAAAAAAAAAAAAAATTAGCTGGGTGTGGTGGTGTGTGCCTGTAGTCCCAGCTACTCAGCAGGCTGAGGTGGGAGAATCTCTTGCGCCTAGGACATGGAGGCTGCAGCGAGCTGAGATCGCACCACTGTACTCCAGTCTAGGTGATGGAGTGAGATTCTGTCTCAAAACAACAACAACAGCAAACAAAAAAACTCCACAGGGGGAAAAGAACATATATCTAAATAGAAAATAGGCCAAAGCCGTGAGTAGACTTCTAAAATTATTCCTTTATTTTTAAATTTTATGGATACCTACTACTTGTACACATTTATGGGATATATGTAATATCTTGATACAAGCATATGATAAGTAATAATTAAATCAGAGTAATTAGGATATCTATCACTTCAAACACATCATTTCTTTCAGTTCGGAACATTTCAAATACACTCTAGTTGTTTTGAAATATACAATAAATCATTAACTATAGTTCCTTTATTGTGCTCTGTAATACTAGATCTTATTCTTTCTACCCACTGTATTTTTGTACCCATTGAACCAATCTTTCTGTACCCCACCCTCCTCAATACCCTTTCAGTTTCTGGTAACCATCATTCTATTCTCTATCTCCATGAGATCAATGTTTTTAGCTCCCACATATGAGTGAGATCTTGCAATATGTGTCTTTCTGTGCCTGGCTTATTTCACTTAACATAATGACGATTCATGTTACTGCAAATGATAGGATTTCTTTCTTTTTTTGAGCTGAGTAATAATCCATCCTGTATATACACCATAGTATTTGTTGATGGATACAAGTTACTTCTATATCTTGGCTATTGTGACTACTGCTGTGATAAACATCAGAGTGCAGATATCTCTTTAAATACTGATTTCCTTATTTTGGTGTAGAAATGCAAAATTGTACAACCACTTTTCAATTATCTTTGGCATTTTCTTAAAAAGTTAAACTTATGCTTATCATCAAACCCAACCATTTCAAAAGAAATAAAGCCACATATCCACGGAGAGATTTGTAAACGTCTGTTCATAGCAGCTTTATTCACAATAGTCAGAAACTATAATCAACCCAAATTTCCACCAACTACACATTGTAGTATATCCATGCAATGGAATTCTACTCAGCAATAAAAATAATGAACTGCTAATACATACAACAATCTAGATGAATCTCAAAATCATTATTCTGAGTAAAAGAAGCTAGATACAAAAGAACATATATTATTCCATTTAGATAGTAATCTAGAAAATGCAAGTGAATCACCAGTGACATTAAAATTGATCAGTGATTGCCTAGTGCCAGACGTGGAAGATGGTGGGTAATAAACCACAAAGGGCATGATGGAATGTTTTTGTAGCATGATGGAGGAGGTGGTTAGTTCAGTATAACCTACATCTGTCACAACTCTCAAATTAAATTATAGGCTTTGTAGGGATGCAGTTTATTTTATGTAAATTACACTTCACTAAAGCTGATTTTTAAAAATAACATTCATTTGAAAGAGTCTGAATACAGAAATAAATGCCATGGTCATTGCTCTTAAGGAGTTTTGATAATCACTCCCTTGATTGCCACTGCTTTTCATGCTTAGAAGCTAGAGGATTTGCAATGATTCTTTTTGGTTTCATTTTGTCTTATTTGTAAGCAATAGATTTATACTTGCAAGACAGGATAAAGGTTTAACTTTTGGCAAAAAGAATGAGAGACTTTGATCACTTTTCCACTAAATCACTTAGTCAACAAGCATCTAACTTTCTTTGGCAGAATATGATATCTAAAAAAAATTGCTGATTAAAACCCAGGCACTGATGAACAAAGGAAAACCTTCAGTTAGTTCCAAAGTTACATGACGTTGAAACATCTCTCAATAAGCCAGTTAGGTACTTTTTGTTAGATAAAGTTAGGAACGAAAGACCTACTTTTGTAACATTCTAACAGATTTCACCCCAAGAATGGTTTAAAGAGCCATTAAAAAATAAGTTAATGACTAATATGTAATTTCACACAGAGAAGACTGTCCTCATGCATATAACAAGTTATAATACGCTTCTCACTCTGTAACATTTTAAACATGATTTTTATGATCAAATACGCCAAATAAACTTACCGAAGAAATGATTTGATATTTTCAGCTTTCATTTCAGATACCAGTTCCCACCGTATACTTTGATGATAGCGCACGGAAGTGGCTGTTTCTTTGAGAGGCTTAATAAACCAGCCTGAGGGGTAAAAAAATACACAAACGTACACACGCATACACAAAATCACTTTGACTTTATTAAAACTAGAAGTGAAGCCACCCTCCTTTCCTTACCCCAAAAAAGCCTGTATCTGAGAGATCATGGTGAGCTTTAAAAAATAATGTTCATATTAAATGCAGAAAACCTGTAAATTCTGATACGTAATGTAATTTTGAGCTGCTTAAAAGGAGTTTTATTTAAGGGAAATACTTCCATTTTCTCACGTTATCCATCAAGGCATGGCCTTTCTTGTTCCCTGGACATTTAGTCCCTGACACATAGGGAACATTCCACAAATATTTGTTTAAATGAAGAGCAGGGGTTTTTGTTTTTTGTTTTGCTTTTGATGCTGCTCATATCAGTTGAAAGTTTTGACTCACTAATATTGCTTGGAAATAAAATGAGTTTTTTCACCCCTGCAGATAGTGACAGCTGTAGATTGTCTTTTCAGAGGCCCACAACTCAGTGAACATTTAATAAATTTGAATTTCAAGCACAGTTTGTCTATTAGGAAACCCAAAAATACATTCCATCTGGTTTTGCTAAGATCTCTAGAGTTCATCAGATCTAGCCCAGCCGGCCAGGACTGGCACACACCCCAATCCCTTCGAGCTCCAGGACTTCTCCCTTCATTTCTGCAGAGGATCACGAGCCCCGGAGTCAGGGGAAGGTGTTTCGTTCACTTACCCACCATAAATCCCACCAGGAAAGATGCCAGCGCAGCAGCCAAGCACATCCAAAGGTACAGACGGCCCCGGGACTTCGCCATGGCTTCCTGAGGACTGAGCCTGGGGCGCCAGCTGTCTTCGCGAGCCTCGGGGCTGTAGAGCGATAGAGAGCGCGCGGGCAGGAGGCGGTGAGAGCCGGGTGGCCCCAGCTGCCCTTGGCAAAGCCGCGCCTCCGCCCTCCCCGCCAGGCCCCTGACGAAGGAAACCAGGCAGCGCCGAGCTGTGGTCCCCAGGGGCCCTGTGGTCCCCTGGAGGGGAGAGAGGAAGCCCTGCAGATGGGGGAGGGATTCTTCCTTTTGTCAGGCAACTTCCATTCTGTGGATCCTGCAGTAACCCAAAAAATCTCCCTCATTTCCTAAAAAACTGGGCTACTGTCTCTTTGCCAAGTCCATCCCCCGAAATGCCCAAGTTCGGCTAGAAGTGAATTTCAAGATTGCTTTTCCTGCTCTATTGGCTATTATTCTTCCAGATTCTCTGCTGTAATTTCCCACTAGTCAAACTCGGGAAGAATTTCTGTTCCTGGGTGCTCCGCTGTTAAAACTGTTAACACCACTAATACCTCAAATATATGTCAGCATCCAAATGGATGGGATTGCGTTCTTTTGTTCCCCCTTATTTAAACAAAACTCCGTATTTCTGTAATTCTGTTTCCACTCATTTAACTGAGGTTTTTACCTACCTCACCAGAATGTTATCGGTTTCCATTAGTCCAATTAAGCATTGAAAGGACCTTGCACTGCCAGTAGTTACTAAGAGTAGTTTTCTTAATGTTTGGGAGACACCAGTCTCCCAAAATACGGTGCTTTGCCATGGTAAACCGAGGAAGCCAGAAGGTCTCTGACCATACCCCTCTCTTCCAGCTCCTCCCTCTCAATCTTTTTTCTCTCCCAAAGCACAGGCTAAAGCTGTTCTCTAAAGCTCCCTTATCTGCCGAAAGTCCAGAACTACTAAAGTAAAACAAACAAAGGAAAGTTTCTTTTCCGAGTTTTCATTAACTGAACTCATATCTTAGGAAGAAGGACTATAGTCTGTCCATGCAACCATCAGACTTCTGTCACAAACCACTGTCTGCTCTGTAGGGCCAACGGACTTTGTCCCAGGCGGTGATACATTCTTCAAGCCCATCGAATTCATTTACTATCCTCCTAAAATTCCACACACATTCCCATTTTCTTTTCCTCTAAAAAGCTGGGTATATTAAATCATCTGTACCTCATTGGGTTATTGGGTAATTATTCTACTGTGATTTCCTCGTGCTATGTTGTTAAATAAATTTGCAAACCTTTCCACCTATTAGCCTGCCTTTTGTGACTTGATTTTCCAGCAAAACTTCAGAGTGAAGGGAAAGCTTTCCATTGACCCCTATATTAATAATGGCCCCTGTTATTCCCTTATCCTCATGATATTACATTTATGATGCATTTCTCTTTAAAGATGGGTTTGCAAAATAGTGGCCATTGTAAATAGAATGCCTGCATCCAACTATCTCACCTCAGAGAAAAATTTTAGCAATTTATGATTGGCTTCACCTATCTAACCAAAAGTAGTTTTTTTCTGCCAAAGCAAAACTGCTGATTTGACTTCAAAGAGGGTACTATATCTAGGGATATATCCTAAACTTCACAGCATTGTCTGCAGAGTTATGTATTACCTGATTATGTAATTACCCTGATGGCCTTAGGTAATACACCTTTGCTTCTAACAAGTGACTAGAAGAGTCAAATTTATTTTTGGGGGACAAAATTTTTTTTTAGGTCCTTGTATTTCAATGGCTACAAATTGAACATAATTGTTGGTAGCTATGCCTAATGACTTTTTTCTTGAAACATTTGTAGCACACTCAATACTTAAAGAGGTTTGAAAACGTTTGTAGCACACTCGATACTTAACTTTGAAACACACCTCTTTAATGAACTATTGATTTTTAAATGTTTGCATGTCATTTAAGTCCCAACTAACTTCAGCTTTTTCAGCTACTAGCCCGATAGACATTCCTTGACTGATTGATCCAGTGTTTTCTATTTTAGAGAGAAACATCTTTCCAAAAACATTTTCATAACAAAGTTTGTTCCTCCTTATACGCATACACACAGAATCATAAATAGGGAATTAGAATGAAATTATTAAAAAGGTTCAATATCCAGTGAAGTACCTAAACCCCTCAAATATGGCTTGAGAAACATTTTCCAAGAGCACTCAGAATTATTTTTATGTGTTGCATTATGAAATAATACTGGGATTTTAATAACTCTCCAGTGATTAACAGGTGACACACGAAGGTCTCAAACAACCAAATGCTACTTTTCTACATATAAATATTTTGGGGATTGATTGTGTAGTTTGTTAATTTTTAGACTCTTGGCTTTTTCTATTTGCTACCCATGGGACCATTTGCCGTTGGCTACATATCCCTCAAGAGACAAATCAGAATTATCTCCAGAAAAAGGTTTATTGAAGAAAGAGAAGGTAGAAACTAATGAATAAAATTGCTAAGATATTTGTGAAATTTGTTTTTTCTGACTCATCTTGTATTTTTTATAGTTAATTGAAGTTTGACTAATAGAAAAAATCAATCGTTATTTAGCACAGTTTGCCAGCTTGAGTAATCTTCCTAAATTAAAATTATTCATTCAACCAACATTTATTGAGAGGCCATAACATGCCACACATTATGCAAAATTCTGAGAATATGATCCTTGTTTTTATGAATCTTATAATTCAATGAGAAGGCAAATATTGAATACAAAATTAAATGTAAAGAGTTCCAAGAATGAAAAATGTTACCTCAAATAAGACTGTTGTCTCCGCAGGCGGCATCTGCAATCTTGACAAGCCATTGTAAAAAGCCAGTTAGCTGGCTCATCAAGCCTTTGGCCTTTTGTCAATACAGACACTGCAAACATTCAAAATTCTATGTTAATTAAGTTTGTAACAGAAGGCTGCTATCAAAAGTAATTTCTAATTATTACCATCTTGGCAGATACTTGTACTTTGCGAATCACACTTAGCAGAGCAACACTGTCGATGTGGGGCAATCCTTTTCAAATTCTCCATCAAAGCTAATGGTATAAAAACTTTTAGTATTGAAAACCAGTCTCTCAATGAAACCATTTGACACATTCGACCTGCTCATGATTCAGTCAGCCTCTAACGGGACAAAACTCACCACCTCCTCCATTCACAATAAATTGCTCTTATCTAAGCATTTTTTCCTCCTCCATCATAGCAGAGGCAATTTTGTAACTCTGAAGTTCAAGTCCTATTAAATGGGCTATGGTAAGGTTTGAAAACAAAGTGTGATATGTGTACTAATAAAGCAGTATATATAAATTTCCCTTGTAAAATTAAGCTTTAATTATTAAGCTTTAGTAAAAAAGAATAATGTTTAGCTTGACAATAAAGTGGCAAAATATATATCAAACTCACAGTCTCTCCAGGTGCTGTGTCACAAGATTTCATGTTTTGCTTAAAAATGTTGCCTTATCCTGTATGTGAGAGGCTCAGTGTACAGATATAGACATTAGTGACGTCACAAGGTAGCATTACTAGGGAATAGGCCTACATGATGTGGTCATCCAGAAAACAGTGTTCACTTTCCCAAAATGTGAAGAGTTGATGTTATGATATTTGTGATTCAGCACAAGAAATATATTCCAGTTGGGCATTTGTTTCTTTTTTGTTTCATAGGACGGGGTCTTACTATGCTGCCTTGGCTGGTCTCGAACTCCTGGGCTCAAGCAGTCCTCCAAGCTTGGCCTCCCAAAGAGCTGAGATTATAGGTGTGAGCCACTGTGCCCAGGCTGGTTAAGTATTTTTAAGATTCTGGGCCACAAATTTGTAAAAAATTAATTTCAAATATAAAATAAGATGTTAGAAAGTTAGTACATTAAACAATATACCAGAACTTATATAACAGAGGAGAGGTGAGACCAAGGAAGAAGTCTAGATAGTGAGAAAAGGTAAAAGACTAATGAAAGTGAGAAGCAATTTTAAAAGAAAAGCAGAAATCATGATTGGATGATTTCCTTCTGATGTCATAATTACTCTACTCAACAATAAATGTAGAAATTAGTAAAGACCTACCAGGTTCAAGTGTAAATAGACCATCCATACCATCTCATCAACACAGGATATGCCTTCTATCATGCTAACATTCTAGTTGGAGCCTTGACACTGGTAAGTTGTATAACTTGGCCTTTAAACCAGATTTTCCAAGTCAACATTGCTCCTCCCTTATCATTAACATGTACCTTCAAGCTATTTTCCATGATACCTTTAACTAATAGTACCTTGATTAGGGTACCTCTGGTGCTATTTCTTCCCAAACTCATCCTACAGCCTCATCTACAGCCGCCGTCCCTGTATGCCTTGAGTGCCATTTTATTGTGAATAAATCCCTTTAGATTTCGAATCCTCTCTCCAACATACCTTTTTTCTACTTGCTCTTGTCTGATACCTATTTTCACTTGATACACTTGTTTTCTGAAAACCAGTTAAATGGACGTTTTCTTTTCTTGCCTCTCCATTGACTCATGGGATCAGAGAGGAAGGGCAGATCTTTGCTTTGCCGCCATTATTCCCTGTGCATTCTCTTCTGAAGTCACGTCCATCTGATTATACAATTTGCTTCATTTTTAATCATGGTCCTCACCAAGATATTCTCCTACTTTCACCTGTGGTTTTAATGGCTACATTGTAGAATTCTTTGGCACTTCAATCCATTTCTTTCACACCTCACATCGAATTATTTAGCATGTTCTATTGGCTCTGCAATAAAAATGCATCTTGAATCTAGCTCCTTACCATCTGCACCAGCACTATTCGAATCTTAGCTACAATAATCTCTCACCTAAAACCTTTTAACTGGTTTCTCCTTCTCCACCTTTGCAGACCATCTTTGACTCAATAGAAATTTCCTCCTAAGGCAACATTCAGATCATGTTATAACTTAAAATTTTCCAAAGCCTTGTCTTTAATGCTAAAAATAAAATTTACTAGAACAAAGATCTTACAGGAAAAAGAAGAAAATAAACCAAAACCAACCCCAATCTCCCCCAAATTTAGACTTACTAGAGTGGCTACCAAAAACCCACATGACCTAGCTTTTGAATCTCACCTCCCCTCAAAGGAAAACTCCACCAAAGAAATACATGCAAACCAAATACCTGGAGACCAGGCAACCATGAAATCAACAAAGATCACCATCATCATAAAGAAACAGACAAACCCAAAGGGAGGGCTTGTGGCACTATGCCCTCTAGTGATAAATGTAACAAATTCATTGTCTATAGATTAAGGAGATTTGTTATATGGCATATGGCTAAGAAAGCCCTAGCCTTCTTTAGTACTTTCCAAATATCCCTAACAAGGGAAAACATCAAGAGGGCGTGTCTAAGAATTTTACAGGTGGAGGCAACTATGGAGAACCTAAAATTATTTCATATTTTTATTGTGGTGAGTTGAGATTCATTCATTATTTTAAAAGACAATTATTTTTATTAACTGATTACTTTTCTTGACCAGCTGTCTAATTCA